CCACCTCGACCCTCTATGAGTTGAGAAAACGGTAAATCACGTCACGTACGATGCGCTGGATGTGGAACAGACATTTTCGTAGAACGTGGACCGCCCCGGTGGTTATTACACAAGGAAGGATATCTTGAGCGCTCTCGCTTAATTCAACCCGGGGGTTGCGGGTTCCGAGAATAAGCACGCCGACGTACTGAGAAGGTTGGCCAAGAACGGGAACTTGTGTTGTTTGTAATTTGGACGTCTAGCCCACTGTACTTAGGTAAATGTGTGGGAGAGTCCTGAGGTCTTGTACAAGGGTGCAGATGGACTGTTAGGTGTTACCCGGTCATTGACTTTACAGACACCTGCTTCCTAATACAGTAATGTACATAGGTACTAGGTGTATTTATAGTACATGGAACGTGTGAATCCAGTCTAAATCTGTACTAGCCAGCTAGGCATTGAAAAGAGAAAAGCTCTCAGGGTCCAACTAAGACCTTCGCTATGTCCCCTCTACATCAATCCCAGTTGTATTAAAGTGACTGATGAAAGAGTGTCTAGTCCGGATTAGGAGTTAGAGGACACCTACAGTACCTCTTTATAGCCCGTACCAACCATGACCACAGATGGAAGTTGGCTGCCTATATTCTCATCGTCTAGTTAAAGTAACTAGTCTTCAAGATTTCCATCATTTTTTATCTATAAATGCCGACTCTACATGCAACCTGCGTTTTCGTTTGACCGCCAGCCTAGGTAACCCAGACACTACAAGACTATCTTATTTCTATTTCCCTAGGTAAGGTTGCATGAGGTTCTATTGTAGTCGCGTGGATATTGACTTATGTATTTCCACGAGAAGACCAGGCGTGGCACGATAATAATATTGTGCTATAGAATCGGACCAAGCGACTTGCGATTTTCTCGCTATATTCACCGCAAACCCTGAGCAGAGAAATGGACAGAGAAACGGGAGAAGAACGCCTGGCCGCACCGCGCGGCTAGAGACTCCCTTCCAATCTGGACTCTGTCCCCCTGAGACTCTGTACACTCCGTGGCATCCGTCATTGCGACAGCGACACACTCTACCAGAGGCAGCCTATTCAAGCTCGCTGGCAAGGGCACTGAATCCACAAGATATAGCAACCGCATCCCAGACATGGTAGGACCGGGCGATTCTCCCTACTGCATTTGATATCTCAATGTGGCTCCCGAGGAGACGTGTCGTCTTCTAGCCGACCGCTATCCTACTATGCGCTACCCAGTTGGGCGCGCCTGTGCCGTTGCTGGGCATGTCAACCTCTTTCGCGAGCTTAAACTCCTCCCAAGGCGTCCAACGCTGAGGAGGCAAGAGACAGCGAGGCCCGGACTAGCGGGGTAAGTCACACAATCTCCGATGCTATAATCAGCCAGCCCGTTAGATACGCCGTTTTAGATGACTACACCAGAAGCTGTACGCCGGGCAATCCTCGGGTTATTGCTGATCTAAATGGCGATACCACTACATTCAGATGATGTCACCGAAAAACGACGCCGTTATTACCATATTCGACACATGAGCCTGTGTTGTTGCCGACAACGAGAGCATCTGGGCTCCCCTCGCCTGGACGCCAGACGAGGCGCTCTCCGCAAAGCCACAGCAAGCCCTAAAACCGTATTATCTCCAGACGCTGACGGTTCGGGCGGAGAGCGTGTCGACCTCTCGCAGCGGCAATCCGCTACGCAAAGGCCGTCTCTCTGGAAGATGCCTCGCAGCACTAGGCGCATAGAGGGCCGCCGACCTCCAACCATCCTCTGGACCTCAATATCAGAAGAGAAACTTGACTTGGGACAGACCGGCCCGTACGAAAGTCTCCAGGTCATGCGCCTGTTAAATGCGGGGAAGCTCGTTGAAAAAAAAAAAAAAGGTAGAGACTCCAAAGACACAAACTCGAGGCTCAGTCCTTGAATATGTGGGAGTACCTAAGTTAGGTAAACATGAGGAGCCGCCCAGTCCGCGTACCGTCACGACCATTACCGAGACCGTATGAAGCGACAGACTCTGTCTTCCAAGCTCTGCAAAACTATTCAGCCTACGGTGCTTACATCTTCACAGCTCAAAGAAATAGAAAGCATCTCTCATGGCTACCTCCATGTCTCTCTCGGAACCCAGACCCTGATAAGCCATAATTATATCGTGAGTGACGAAGTCCGTCGAGTGCCACCTGATGCGGTTTCCCTCCACTTTGCTCATCTGGTCGGCGAACTCCCGTATCCCATCGTAGAACCCTTCAGCAGTCCCTGCGTGGATGAATAGAGGGAGGTTGGTGTGGAATGGATGGTTCAGAGGTGAGATGTACGCGAGTTCTTCTGCAGTCGGCCGACGCTCGGGGAAATAGGTCTCGGCGCCCCATTGGAGGAAAGAAGCAACTAGGCAGTCGCCCCTCGATGCCTCGTTGGAGTCATAATCAGCCCCTGCCTGCTGGGTTACGTGGACCCAAGGGGACCAGAGCATAACGCCGCGCGGCAAGGGGAGAGCCGAAGAGGCCGAGGTCTCTAGGTATCTCAGCAACCCGACAGCCAGGTTCCCCCCCGCCGAATCTCCTGATACGATGATGTTCTTCGCATCGACGCCCAGGCGGAGGACGTAGATGTAGAAGGTGAGCACGTCTTGCAGAGCGGCGGGGAACCGGGTGCGATTGTCGGCCGAAATCCTATATTGAGCAAAGAATACGTAGTTGGCCGTCGTGAAACCCAAGATCGCACCGGATACTGGCTTCCCCCATTGTTCCTGTCCGTACGCACGGACGAAGCCACCGCCGGGAAAATGCAGGACTACTCTCGCCGTTTTCACATCGGACGAGCCGGCGAGCGGCGGGGCCGGATACCATAAACCGCCGACGGGCGCCGGGGTTGCTTCGCCGGGCACCAGGACTCCGGAATAGCAATCCGACTCCGCCGGCTCTGCGCGCGCATAACGCTGTCCCGCCTTTGCATGGTCCGAAAGCAGACTGGACATTCCAGTTGACCTGACCTGAGCATAGTATACAAACAACTGTCGTCCTATCGCATTGAGAAGGCAGTAACGTAGATCCCACGCCGGAAAGGGCCGGGCGAACCTCGGGCTGTAGCGGAGCAAGAGCCACGGCAGAGTGAGACAAGTTGCCAGGACGTAGTATATGGTGTAGAGAGCCTTGAAGGGCTGCTTTGACCAAATAGGAGCCATGCTGGGAAGCCAGAATGTCGGGATTGAACGCTAATGCCGTCAAGTGCTACACTGCTATTTCATAGTGCAAGACAGAATTGGCAGAAAGTGATTCCGGCAACAGCATAGAGAACAGATTGTTGAACTACCTTTCTCGGTTCTAAGGTTGTCTTTTAAGGCATTGTCTGTTTGGTGTATGAAGATCTTATATAACATGAAGTACCTAAGCGCGCGAGAAATACGTTGCCGGGGTCAAAGCCTCTTGTAATCGCCAGCTACATCGATCATTGGGCGGGGTTGGAGCATCATGTGCTTTTAGTACCCCGCGCATGGAGACTACCATCTAAGGCGCCCAATCTGGCTGCAGATTTGCGTCTTGCTTGAGACAAGTATAAATAATCTGGAACTGTACCCCTCCCAGCATCATGTCGTGAAGTGTTTACATAAGCTTATGATGGTGCGGTTACAAGGTGACGTACACAACCCCTTCCACATTTATACTTCATAATAAACTCGCCCAAATAAATGCAACTACTTCATTGGGGCTTAACTATCTATACATCGCCGTCATAGACACCCGTCGGACTTAGCACGGCATCATGACCACCAAAACCGACCCGAAGGAGGTTGTCGAGCTCCTCAAAACGCTGATGAACATCGAGAGCACCAGCGAGAAAGAACTCGAGATCGGACAATACCTGGAGAAGTACATAGAGGGCCGAGGTTTCACCGCAGAGCGGATCGCCATCGCACAGGACTCTACGCGGCACAATGTCTACGCGTACCTGGGTCAGGACCGGAGCGCCCGGCTCCTGGTGACGGCGCACATGGACACGGTGCCGCCGCACATCCCCTTCAGCATAGAGGGCGACGTGATCCGCGGCCGCGGCGCGTGCGACGACCTCGGCCCCATGGTGGCGCAGATCTTCGCGGTCGAGGAGCTGCGCGCCGAGGGCAGGCTGCGGGAGGGCGACGTGAGCTTCCTGTGGGTCGTGGGCGAGGAGAAGGGCGGGCCGGGCATGATCGCCGCGAACGACATGGGCCTCGCGTGGGAGGCGGGCCTCTTCGCGGAGCCCACGGAGGGAAAGGTGGCCAAGGGACACAAGGGGAACCTCGTGTTCGAGGTGATTGCTCGTGGAAAAGCCTGGTAAGCAGCGTGACCAGTGTACTATACTATACGCACTCAGGCGTAATGAAGTTGCTGAGCTGATGATGTATACTTCTAAAGCCATTCCGGCTACCCTCACCTGGGCAAGAGCGCGACACTGCTCCTCTTCGATGCGCTGAACGATCTCCGGGCGGTGGAATGGCCGGTCTCCGACCTGCTGGGTCCGTCAACGCTCAACATCGGCAAGATCGAGGGCGGCGTGGGCTACAACATCCTCGCGGCCGAGGCCAGGGGGCTCTGCAGCATCCGCGTGGCGAGGGACGTAGAGGGGATTAAGCAGACGGTGAGGGAGGTGATAGCCAGGCACCCCGACGTCGACGTCGACTTCAAGTTCCAGTACGCGGAGGTGCTGCTGGAGTGGGAGTTTGAGGGCTTCGAGGCCGAGCCCATGGCGTACGGCACGGACATACCGAGGCTGCGCGGCGACCACAGAAAGGTGCTCTATGGTCCGGGTTCGATCCGCGTGGCCCACGGCAAGGACGAGCGCATCGGCGTCAGCGAGATTATGGAGTCGATCGAGAAGAACAAGCAGCTCATCTTGGAGTTATTGAAGTAGGCATTTAACAACGTCATTGCATTTCTCTTTAGATCCGGCTGGGGACATGAAAGAGGAATGAGTGAAAATAGCCAAGAGCGTACTTACTGTGCAAAATGGTACGAAAAAAAAAAAGTAAACTCCGAATCGGGGAATCGAACCCCGGGCTTGACGGTTCCGAATTCTTCTGGAGAGAAGAACTTGAGAGCGTCAAATGTTAGCCACTACACCAATTCGGATGTTAGTTTGAGTTGATGTTCGGTATTATATTCCAGCCAATTAATCCTAGTGTGTCTCCGGCCTAGGTCTGTTAGCTCCCGTGTTTAAAAATCCCAATTGTGAATGGAGAGATTCCGACTTTAGGTTGACATGAGAAATGTTGGGCAGACCAAATGGTTTTTTCCGATCATGAGACCAGGATCCATAGGTAAGTAGGTACTCCGTAATTATCTCTGAGCCAGTTGGCTGACATCACAGTACATGGGACGCCTGTTATCTGCACCGAATTCCTGGTTTTGACGGGTCCGGCACCGGGGGTGTCGTCCCGCCCAGAACCATCCAATAGCGGGATGCGCAATGCAGATTGATTGCAGCGCCACGCTACCTACGATATACAGGCCCCTCAGTGGGGGGTTCCTTCACATGGCCGTTCACGCACCCTCACCAGGGAATTGGAAAGTGCTTCCTTTTTTTTTTTTTGAAACGAGCAGAGCGAGCCTGACCGAATTAGAACTGCGCGCATTTGCTCTTGCATATAAGTGTACATACACACTTACCCTTCCCGACTCAGTTCTTTCCTCTAGGCTTTTTTTTCCTCTTCCCAACTCTTTCTCTACCCAGGTGGTTCAGGAACTCGGCAACACTTCTCCCCCTTCGCCAACTCACATCCCCCCAAACCTGCTACAGCAAATCGCCGCCGGAACTAAACAAGATCGTCGTGCGCTACGTCGAGTGGATCACAAGCGACACAATGTCTTCGGGTGTTAGCAATGGCGGTGACAAGAGCTTTGTCGGTCAGTGGTCTTCTTACGCCCCTAATGGGCGTCAATTCGCTAACCTGGAAAGCATGCAGACCCCGGTATCGTGGCGACACCTCAGATCTCCGAGCCATGGACGGTTGACAAGGTGCTAGCCACCATATCCCCGACACCGCCCGCCGAGGGCACCGATTCGCCCGTTCCCTACTTCCATATCCTCGAGAGACTAAAGACAAATAAGCGCGAGGGATGGCGGCGGTTCAACATTGAGAGGTACGATCGCTATCACACATGCTCGATCGCTGGTATCTGTAGGCTGACAGAAGCGCGCACAGGGGCGAGTCGATATCCGATCACATGTACCGCATGTCCCTCATGACGATGCTCTGCCCGCCGACGCTCGCGCCGAAGCTCGACCTCTTCAAGTGCATGAAGATGTGCCTGATCCACGACATGGCCGAGGCCATCGTCGGCGACATCACGCCCGTCGACGGCGTCGCCAAGCCCGAGAAGAGCCGCCGCGAGGCGGAGACGATGGATTACATCTCGAAGCGCCTGCTGGGCACCGTGTACGGCGGGCTGGCAGGCGAGGAGATCCGCGCCCTCTGGCGCGAGTACGAGGACTCGGAGACGCTCGACAGCCACTTCGTGCACGACCTCGACAAGGTGGAGCTGCTGGCGCAGATGGTCGAGTACGAGAGGCGCGCCGGCCGGGCCCTCGACCTCGGCGAGTTCGCCTACGTCGCCACCAAGATCGTCCTCGATGAGACCAAGCAGTGGGCCAGGGACCTCCTCCGGGAGCGCGAGGCGTTCTGGGGCGACCGGGCCCACGTCCACGGCGAGGCGGGCGGCGGCGGCGTCGGGGAGGGCAAGCGTCAGCAGCAGGAGGCGTACTACGCCAAGGAGAGCGGCGCGGCCCCTTGATGGGCGCGACAGCGCGCGAGACGGCCGGCTTCCGAGCATTTCTGACTTCCTTTGGAGCTACCGTATTTGAGCCTTACCTTGGACCGGGAACTCGGCAAACTCGCGGCGATGTTTGCTTGTCATCACTCTCGTACAGTACATGAAGTAGAGCTCGCATACGTAGAGCTTACCGTTAGAGGCAACGGCGTACCTAGAGATAGACCTGTCTATTATACCCAACTAGATACTAAAGACTTTAATTGAGGGATTGATAGGTGGTCGAGACCCCTTTCAAGCCAAAAAAAACTATTTTCTTTTCCTTTTAATTTTCGAGTGCCTAGTTGCTTAATTGTCGTAAATACCTATCCCAAGGATACCCCCAACTTGAGGTATTACTATCGGGTACGTATTTACGTACTATGTGTACAACCTACTATGTACTTCTTGCTAAACGCTTCATAATATTTTTGTTTATCAAACTGTCAGAGTAGTTTTGTAATCAGCGTAACGAGGGCTAGTATTCAAGACCTTGGCTCAATGGCTATCACGTAATAATCTTTCTAGGTCCTAAAAGTCTTGTGCCTTGTGAATGGACCGTCTATTTAAGTCCCTCAGCCTTCATCTGAGACGTCTCACGCCGTAGAGCAGCTGAAGCTTCGTGAGCTAATACAGAACAATCTCTTTGCATCGGTGACTCTTAGTGGTGGAGATGGTGGGTAGTGGTAGCGTCGTGAGTTGATCCCAATTTAGTCGGATGACTTCTGCCAGTCCGGGTGACGAAAAGGACATCTTATACCATAACAGACGGCTTGAGCCGGCGGGTTGCTGCCAGGGCGTCGTTCCAGTTCGGAACCACCTGGATTAGAAGCGCGAACATCACCAACGAGCCGGCGGCAATGGGGCCCAATATCGCAAACACCGTGAAGCCGTACGATGCTCGCTGGAAGGCCCCGTTGTCCTTGAGCGCATCCGTCGAGAGTCCCACCTGCATAGCTGTAAGGACGATGACGATATAGACGGTGGTAGCGGCGACCAGGGAGAGGTTTGCGGTAACGAAGTCGGTGTATGTAGTCCACGGGGTGTAATAGATCTTGGAGAACGGCAGGCCCTTGAAGATGTAGATCCAGTTGAGCCTATCCAGTCGCAGCTCGCCGCGCTCAAAACGCCGGTGCACCTGGCGGGCGATGTCGGGGTGTAAGAGCTCGACTGCGAAGGCCCGCCAAGTTTCCCAGTCGGGCGCACTCCCGGCGTCGCTCGGTATGAGGCCCTGTTCGAGGGCGAGCCTGAAATCATTCGGGTGGGCGATGAGGCAGGCGTACGTATAGAGCAGCCCGAGTGCACTCCCACGGATCCCTCGTTGGGAGGGCGATGAGGCGTCTGGCGTCGTCGACGAACGGCTTTCCAACGTGGGTGCACCCTGCTTCGCTGCTGGGGACGTCTCTCGAGCCTGGGGCTGGACATCGTGCGCGCTGCCAGCTGGGGGGTCCGGGGCCAAATGTGCGTCCCAAAACTCGGGTTCCAGGAGATAGCGTGGCAGGGGCTTGAGGAATATCTTCCCGTTTCCCCAGACAAGGTGCATGTCGAGAGAATCGGTCAGAACGATCATCCGTCCGAGTTGAAGTTGAGTATGTAGTGGTCTAGGGGGCCTTGGATAGCCGACGCGCCAGAGCTTAGAGTAGACATCATCGAGGCGCGCCAGCGAGAACTCGACTTCGAGGAAGCGAGAGAAGGTTGTGTAATCAACGACTGTGACCCGGTCGTCGAAGTCACCAGAGCGAAAAGAGACCGGGAAATGCTTCCAGGAGGAAATCTTGCAGGATTCTGCGGTGCACTTAGTGTGCGTGGTCGATGGCGATAATAAGGGCTGCGACTGGTTCGCGGGTGATAACGACTGCGATGGGAAGAGGCGAGTCTGGAAGGGGACACCGGGCGTCTCAAGGAGAGATGTTGTTAGCATTCAACAGCGAGAACTGGCTTGAAGAGTACGAGGCAGCCTTACCACGGCGCCGGCGGGCTTACTAGGAGTATGGTGCATCATTGTGGTGGACGCCTGGCACAAACGCTCTGGTTCGAATATCTTGTTAAACGAGCGCTATCTGGGAATACCTTTGGATAATTGGTTTTTTGTGAATAGTTGACGAAATGGAATGATATGGTGGCGGCCGCTTCTCGGGCTCCCCCCTATCGGGCGATACGGCTTTAACGTCAAACAGGGGTTAAATGTACGCATAAATAACAACATACTAATTAGCTTAGTATGTTTGTACTTGAATAATAAAGTCAAAGCTAACTAATACGAAATCAAGGACGTTTTCTTTAGCTAGGAGCGTAGGTAGTTCCATATATTTAAGTACCAAGGCAGGGGGTAACGGGCCGAGCCGAGCAAAGCTGGGGGGCATCTGCGGGATCCTTGGAGTACTTACAGTACCTATCTACGGTACTTGGACGGTTGGACCAACTATCGCTACCAACTTAGTGAGCCCACTACAACTCAGAACGACCTGCATCAACGCCGGTGTGAGCGATTCTCCCATATTTCTACCTACTTAGGTAAATCGAGCTAAAAGGTGAGGTTCCTACCTGAAAAGCCCAGAAACCTCTTGCAGCCGGTCTTTGTGCTGTGGCGCTTTAGACGTCCCTATTCTCCAAGCTAGATGTTCAGTAGCCGGAGGATATAACAGACAAACACGGTTGCTCATAGTACAAAGTTGTGGAACTCGCCATGAAACTGCTAGGAAACGATGGACTGGCTGGGCTTAGGGGGTATTGAATCCTCGATAGATTTGGCTCATTAAGCACCAAACGTCGTAAATAAACCATCACTGGGGACAATAATATAGGTGGCTTCTAATGTGAGAACGCGGGGCTTTCGCTCGTCATCGATCTCGTCAGTTTGCTAGCTTTGCATTATTTTCAAGAAAAACAAGTAAAAAAAGTGATAACAGATCTATTATCCAACCTCACATGTTTCCCACGGGGTATTGTCTTATGTCGAGGTCAATCGACGGCGATACCCTGTAGATACCGCAATATCGGGCTAGGGATCATGAAGCCGCAGCCCTCCTTACCCAATAATATTACCTTCTACTGGCAGTATGAGGCTTCAATAACTCTTCAGAGATATTCTCCCACTCATATCAGACTTCGTGCGCGGTGCCTCGCGATTTTGCCCGGCATACTGCGACAAAGCCGCTGCGGATCAGCAACGAAAACGATAGTCATGACGAAGACGAACACTCCAGAAGCTTCAACCAAAAGTAAAACGAGCTCTTCGCCGCTAGCGCACTCTTCGAGGATGGCGATAGCGACCACGAAGCTCGTGTACTCGATCCGCATCCCCCGTGTCATCGGGGTGCCGC